GCCTGCCTTGAGAAGCTTTTTCTGCCCAGCTCATCATTTCTGCCCATTCTAAACACATTCAAACTGTCAAGACCATGCCAGGACACCTCGTTTTTCTAACCCGAACCCTATGCTGGTTGTTGTTGTTAGTCGCGAAGTCGTGTCCGACCCATTGCTAATATAGGGCGAAAGATCAAATGAAAATAGGATGATTTTGAAAAAGCCTTCCCTGAGTAGGTTTTTCTGCACAGCTCATCATTTAGCCCATTCAAAAACCATTCCAAACATCAAAATCATGCCAGGGCACCTCGTTTTCCAAACCCTAACCCTGCCCTGGTACACACCCCTAACTATAATATAGGGCTAAAATAACATTGAAAAGAAGGCGACTTTGAAAAAGTCTTTCTTGATAGGTTTTTCTGCACAGCTCATCATTTCTGCCCATTCTGAACTCATTGCAACCATTAAAAACATGCAAGGACTCCCTGTTTTTCAAACATTGACCCAACCCTAGTGCACACCCCTAACCCAAATAAAGGTTTGAAGTTCCATAAAAAGAGGACAAAATGGAAAAGCCCTTCCTTGACTAGCTTGTTTGCACTGCTCATCATTTCTGCCCATTCCAAACACATTCCAAGTGTCAAAATTATGCCAGGACACCCCGTTTTTTGAACCCTAACCCTACCCTGGTGCACACCCCTAACCCTAATAAAGGGTTGAACCATAGAAAAGAGGTCGATTTTGAAAAGTCCTTCCTTGAGTAGATTTTTCAGCACAGTTCATCATTTCTGTCAATTCTAAACACATTCAAAGCGTTAAGATCCTGGCAGGACACCTCGTTTTTCTACCCTAACCCTGCCCTGGTGCACACCCCTAACTCTAATAAAGGGTAAAAGTTCCATCGAAATAGAAATCTTGGAACGAATCTGACCAAACACAGGTGGTCATTAACGAGCCTATGCTGTGGCAGTGAGGCCAGCGAAGAGACAGTTCTTCTCCGCTTCCATTGCTTCCCCAAAGTGCCGTCCAGTGGAGCTTTTCCGAGTAGTGCAAGGCCTAACACATTCTTGCCAGGAAAATGATGTGGTCGCACCTTGGGCAACCCACTGCGACATCTTTGCCCAGCACTTTAAGAAAAAAATTGCTCAGATTCGCTGCGATCTGGACTCCACAGTTGATACGGTTCCAGTATGGGAGGTGTCCAGAGCGCCATCTGGTCCATCATTAATGGATGAGTTTCAGTTATTTCAGCCTGATGATGTGGACAAGGTGCTTGGGAGGGTCCGTCCTACCACCTGTCTTCTTGACCCTTGCCCTTCCTGGGTACTTAAGGAACCAGTTACAGGATTGGTCCCTGGGTCCAGAAGGATATTAATGGCTCACTGAGGGAGGGCCAGGTCCCTGTCCCCTTGAAGGACGTGATGATCCAGCCTATCCTGAAGAAGGCATCCATGAACCCAGAGGTGGCCTCCAACTTTAGACCAGTGGCCAATATTCCAGTTTTGGGCAAGGTATTAGACCGGGTGGTGGCAGGACCCATTTCAGTCCAGCTTCAGACCCGGTTATGGTACTGAATCTGGCTTGGTTGCCCTGTATGATGACCTGTGCAGGGAAAGGGACAGGGGGAGTGTGCCCCTGTTCGTTCTGCTGGACCTCTCAGCAGCTTTCAGTACCATTGACTTTCTGGATAGGCTGGCCTGCGTAGGAGTAGGAGGCACTGCATGGCAGTGATTCCACTCCTATTTGGCCAGCTGATTCCAGATGGTGGTGCTGGGAGACTATAACTCTGCACCATGGCAGCTTTGCCATGGGGTTCCACGAGGCTCTATTTTGTCCCCCATGCTTTTTAACATCTACATGAAACTGCTGGGAGGGGTCATCAGGAGGTTTGGGCTGCAGAGTCATCAGTATGCTGATGACACCCAGCTCTACTTCTCGTTTACATCTACTCCAGGTGAAGGGGTGGCTGTACTGAACCAATGCCTGGCCGAGGTAATGGGTTGGATAAGGGCCAATAAGCCGAGCCTCAATCCAGATAAGATGGAAGTCCTGTTGGTGGGCAGTGTGGGTTTCCAGATAGGTGATTTTGACCCTGTCCTGGATGGGGTAGCACTCCCTCTAAAGGACAAGGTCTGCAGCCTGGGAGTGCTCCTAGGCCTGGAGTTGTCTCTGGAAATCCAGGTGGCAGCAGTGGCAAGGAGTGCTTTCCTACAACTTTGGCTGGTCCACCAGCTGTGTCCTTACCTGGAAAAGCACTGCCTTGCAACAGTGATACGTGCTCTGGTAACCTCCTGCTCGGATTACTGTAACACATCCTATGTGGGGCTGCCCTTGAAAACGGTCTAGATACTTCAACTGGTAAAGAATAGAGCTGCCAGGCTGCTGATGGGGAATGGCCGTTATTCTCACATGACGCTGGTCCTGTATCAATTCTGCTGGCTCCCAGTTGAAGTCCAGGCCCAGTTCTTGACCTATAAAGCCCTAAACGGCTTGGGAGCAGGATACCTGAAGGAACATCTCCTTCCGTATATGCCCTCACGCCCCTTAAGATCTTCGGGAGAAGCACTGCTCCAGGAACCCTCTCTCAAAGAGGTAAAAAGGGCATCAACTCAGAGTAGGGCCTTCTCTGCAGTGGCGCCCAGACTGTGGAATGCGCTCCCCAGAGGGGTATGCCTGCACCGAGCTTATACTCTTTTCAGCATCGGGTCAAAACCTTTTTATTTAAGCAGTATTTTAAAAATTATTATTATTATTATTATTAGAACATTTCTATGTCACCCCTTGCCGAAGCCTCGGGGCGGCTTACAACACAATAAAATACAATACAATACAAAAATAACAATATAAAATTAAAATTAATAATATAAAATAAATAAATATAAATGATATAAAAGAAGTTAGAAAAGAAAAGAAAAGAAGTCGCCCTGGTCAGATAAATAAGTAAATATAGTTAACAATTAAAATGATGTTTAAATAAAAAGGTCTTCACCTGGCACCGAAAAACAAATAACGACGGCACCAGGCGGACCTCTCTGGGGAGCATATTCCATAGATTGGGCGCCACCGCAGAGAAAGCCCTCCTCCGAGTACCTACCCTCCTA